TGTGGTGGACAGTCTGTAACAGCAGCAAACCCATTCTGGAATGGAGGATTCTTTGCTCCACCAGCTGCAGAGCTGCCTGCAGACAGCCTGGCATCATGGGCCAGCCCTCCCCATGAAGGGAGCCACCTCCACCTGGACCGTGTCCCTGCCCTAGAGTCATGCCTCTGAGCCTTATCAGTGGGAGGGTCTGAAGACGAGACCGCAGCTGCCTAGGAGGGCTCAGAACGAGCATCCGAGCAGCAGAGTCCTGTGGGATCTCTGAGGATGAAGGTCCCACTGAGCCCTCCCTCTGCCCATCCTGCCCTGACCCATCTCTGGCACCAGGGTGGCCCACGTACTCTCCCTATAAACCTCCTGCCAGCTGATCCCACCCCTGAGTCAAGTCTTGGGGCACCACCTGCAGTGGCATCCACCAGCCATTTGCCACCTATGTTCTCAGATTCTGGCATCTGCCCCAGGAAGGTGTCCCCAGTGCCAAGTCCACGACCTGATGGTGACATGCAGGATCTCATTTAGGCCCAGCCCTTCTTCTCCCATGGGCACATTATGTTTGTTTTCCATGTGATCAATTGAACACCCTGTGGCTAGTCTTGAGGAAAATAGAGGCCACATAGAGAGTAATTCACCGATGAGACTAGCATTTCATGTCTCAGGGAATCCCCTTCTGAACTGCACCTTCTGAATCCAAACCTGAACACTGGAAGCTTCTGTGCCTGCTGCCCCCAGTGCAGGGAGCCACCAGGGGGCAGCAGAGAGCCACCTGCATCCTGCTTGTTCCAGCCTCCAGGCAGCTGTGACATGGGGAGCATCAGCCACCAGAGCTAAAACCTGAGTGACAGGGATCACCCTTGTCAGTGATGTCCCCATTTCAGACTCCTCCAGGCTGCTGTCTGGGGCTTATCGAAATGGCTTGTTTCTCTGGCTCGTATTCAGACATTTCTGTTCCTCCACCCATAGCTCAGTCCTGCTAAAACGACCTCACTGTCCAGGCCCTGGATGAGTGTTGGGCACAGCAGGTGTTTGATAAACTTATGTTGTCTTGATTACAAATGAAGACAGCTTGTCACTTAAAATCTTACCTCATTAGCAAAACACACTGGATTATAGTGATCTCACAGGGGGCACAGCTCTCAGAGCCCTTGCCAGGCCTCACTCTCATGCAGCATTTCTGGACCCCGTGATCTCTATGTGACCTGAGTGCACACGAGGGTACTGAGGCACAGCCCAGTGTCTTTCCCAGTAGCCCAAGCAGGAGAAATGATGGACCTCAATGTCTCATGAGTGTGTGCGAGTGAGGAACGATCCTCATTCAGGATCTGCTACTCAGTGGCTGTGGGGAGAGGAGGATCTGACCCAATCTCAGCCTGGAAATGTCAGTCCCAGAACAGGATCAGAACACACAGACGTCAGCTGAGCTCTGCTGTGGCAGGACCCGCCCAGAGAAAGAAGAGGACAGAGTCTAAGGGAGAAGATTCAGCCAGACCACGAGACCAGCAGGGAGGGAGGACCCCTGAGTTGAGGGTGGAGACTCCAGAGAATGGCCCCACCACTCTGTGTCTCTGGGAGCTGAGTCTTTTCTGAATCCACAAAGCCCCCCAAGCAGCAGCCCAGGCCTGGCTGATTTGCACACCCAGCAGCTCTCTCAAACAGGGGATGAGACAGGCCTGGGGGAGAAGGGGAAACCTGCCAGGCCTCAGGGAAGAGGATCAGGGACCCCACCATGGCCTGGACCCCTCTCCTCATGCACCTCCAGGCTCTGGAACAAGCCTGATTGTTACTCTGAGCTCAGTGAGGGCTGCCTATGGAGGCAGGATTCTCATGATCTGGGGGGAATGTATTGTGGGTAGACCCCATTGTGTTCACTGTTATGTGTGATCCTGAGAGGTTGTGCCTCCCAAGATTAGGGAAAATGGTGTTCATTCATTTCTCAAAAATCACCACCATACATCTTTCAGCCAGGCTCAGGAGACACTGAGGATGAGGCTGAAGGAAGGGGACACCCAGGGAATAGTAACTACTAGATGTGAGTCCAGGCAAGTGCAGGTGCTCTGGGAATGGGCCCTACACATTAAACCCCACCTCCTTTTCCCTTGATGGTTCTTACTAAGGAAGACACCACAGTGTTGGGGCAATAGGGAGAATAGGAAAGACATCGCTGAGGAGTGGAGCTTTTCCACTACACTCTGGATTAACAACAAGGAAGACAAGCACCTGAAACTGAGGCCACAAGGACACAGGTGACTCAAGGCTCAAATCTGTCTCCACCATCTTGGAGCTAAGACAGGCTTATGGCAGTGAAAGGAAAAGGGAGGAAAGCTAGGCCGGAGCAAAGAAAAGCCTGGCAGGGTTTCATTAGTCAGACCAAAATCAGCCCCGACATGGAAAGGTTTTTTCCCAAGTAATTTCATTTTGCACAGCGTGCTTTGTTTCCTATGGGCTTGGAAATTAGCTGGAGGTCAGTCATGTTTAGCACATGCTCAGGTTGTCTGACCTCATGCTCCGCTCCAGGAGCGCGAGAAGACTCTCCCAACAAGGGGTTCACAAGAGAGGTCCCTGCGCCCACCCAGTGGTTGCATTTGGGCTCTGCTGCCTCAGACCCCTGTGCCTGGAGAGGGTTCCAGGCCCCAACACGCCACTCTCAGATGCTGCCCACTGTCTCTCCACCGGCCTTGAAGGGGAGCATGTCCCCCTGCAGACTGGCTCTGTGCAGACACAAGGGTGGGGCCAAGAATCCCAATAGGAACCTCTGTTTTTGAAAAGAAAAAGATATGCATATATGGAGTTAGATAAGTTTTGATGGTCCAGGATTGTGAGGGTGAATTGGCCTTGACGTCATCCTCACAGATACTGAATCCAGGGTCTTTGGAGACACTTCCTACTACTTGTTCCATCTTTTCTCCTGACAGCAGCTCCAAAGGGCCCCTCCAGCCTGTCATCACTCAACACCTATTTGATATTAATTACCTGGTTGCTCATCCTTACCATCATTTTCATTAATGGATTGATTTCTATGAATCATTTTCCCAATAGTCAGGAAATGACAGGTCTTTTACATGCGCAGCAAATACAAAAGGCATTTTTTTATCCTATAATAACTCTGGAGGGAGATGGCTTTTCCACAGAGACCCACCCATTCCATGAGATCCCAGATCCGGCTTATTCTCTCCTTCAACCATACCGTATGGAGACATTGTTCTCCTTTTGTTAACGTAAGACCTGGGAGTGGCTGCTGCAGCTGCAGCTATCACATCCTCATTCAAGGGGAAAGCTGCTGTATGAATCTAGTACGACCCTTTCATTCACATCAAATCTTCATTGAAAAGCATCACAGTCAAATGGCATTTATCACACTTCAGCCATCACTGGGCCACGTTGTCAATCCAGACAAGGAATCTGTGAACGGTGTCCAACTTTCAAATAGATGAGCAACAAACAAGGGACTCGTGAGGACCATCTGCTGTGCCTGAAAACCAGCGACGCTCTTGCTCTGCTCCATCCACAATATGGAAACTCCCAAGAGCAAGGACAGTGCCATGTTCATGCCATAGAGCAGAAGGAGTGTGTCCAAGATTGGAGTGAGGGTCACAAATATTTCCTGGACAGGTGTTCTCCCTTCTGTCCTGGGTACAGTCACCCCAAGACCCCATAATGGCACTGCACACACAGCTGGCACCATGAAGAGTCATTCCCTGAATCCTCTTCTCCCCAGTGCCACCTGTGAAATGATAGTTCTTCCAGGTGTCTCAGGTGAGTCGTGCACGTCCCTCCTCTAAGTAAACGTGCTCATATTTTCCTTGTTGATCTGAGGCCTCTGTCCCTGATCTTGAGGTAAACAGAGGCCACATATGAAAGTGCAGCCCACGGACAGGAAATCACCACCTGAGATGATGCCTCTGAATGCACACCCCAGCAGCTGATGCCTGGAGCCTCCTGCAGCCAATGCAGGGTGCCCACCAGGGGTCAGGAAAGAGCCACATGTGTCAGGGTGTTTCAAAAACCCTGAAGGATGTGACAGGAGGGTTAGTCACCATGAGGGAACACCAGAGTAATTCAGTAACATTTTCCTACAGTCTCATCCTTGACAATCATGCACCATCTTCAGACTTCAAGTCCTGATCTGAACTTGTTGAATTACCAATTTCACTTGCACAAGGTCAGACACATCAGGAATCATCTCCCAAACACACACAAGCCGGACAAGCTAAAATGACTTTGCTTCTTCACTCCAACTTCTCTGTACTCACACATTCCGCCTCCTACCTTTTGCTCAGAGACACTCCTGACCTGCCAGAAAAAACCATCCAGATCCTAGATGGGAGCCTGGCACCCAGTATTGCTGCAAAAACTTCTGTTCCCTTGATTATAAATTAATACTTTTATTATTAATATCTTTCCCAAGAAGTATAGTTAATTAGGGTGAACATTCAGTCAGCTGCTAATAGAGTTTGCAAGGGGTCACCAAGCATTTCCTGGAAGGACATGACATCTATCTGACCTGAGCAAACTCTGGAAATACTGGACAACAGTCCCTATCACCAGCCTCAGACAACGGGAGGAAAATTTAAAATCTCCATGGCACCACGTGTGCTGTGCAAGGGAGGAGGTTTATTCTGTTCTGCTGCTCCAAAACAGCATCCTGGGGTGGGAACTTCCCCCACTAAGCCTCCTCATGGCGCCTACAGACAAGAACCAGAAAACACAGACAGATACACGCTGAACTCTGCCCGGGAAGGGCCTTCCAGCACAGAGGCCAGGACAGAGTCTGCGGAGGAGATTCAAACAGACCATAAGACCAGCAGGGAAGGAGAATCCCTAAGCTGAGGGTGGGGACTCTAAGAATAATATCCCTGAGTCTTCTCTGAAACCACAGAACTCCCCGAGCAGCAGCCTGACCCTGGCTGATTTGCACACCCAGCAGCTCTCTCCAGCAAGGGGATAAGACAGGCCTGGGGGGAAACTGCCCAGCTTCAGCCTCAGGGAGCAGGATCAGGAACCCCAACATGGCCTGGACCCCTCTCCTCCTGGGCCTCCTGGCTCATTGCACAGGTACCTTACCCAGGCTCATTGCACCCCAGGCCAGGCTGAGGGACAAGCCTGGCACTGACTCTACTTAGTGGGGCTGCCGTGGGGGCCAGAATCCCATGATTCTGCTTAGGAGGGGCCTGGTATGGGTAGACCCTGCTGTGCTCACTGCTTGGTGTGAGCCTGAGGGCCTGTGTCTGCTAGGAGAAGTGGTGGGGAATTTAATCATATGTCATAAACGTCATACACATCCAGGCTCATAGGACTCTAAGGATGAGACTAGGGATGGGTATCCAGGGGATCCAGAAATCACTGGATCTGAGTCCAGGCCAGGCAAGTGGAGATGTTCTGGGAATGAGTCCTGCTCATTAACCCCCCTCTCCTTTTCTCCCTGCAGGCTCTGTGGTCTCCTATGAGCTGACTCAGCCACCCTCAATGTCGGTGTCTCTGGGACAGACGGCCAGGATGACGTGTCAGGGAAACAACATTGAAGAGGAAGTTGCTAACTGGTACCAGCAGAAGCCAGGCCAGGCCCCTCTGCTGGTCATGTATGATAGCACCCGACCCTCAGGGATCCCTGACCGGTTCTCAGGCTCCAACTCAGGGAACACGGCCACCCTGACCATCAGCGTAACCCAGGCCGAGGACGAAGCTCACTATTACTGTGGGGTGTGGGACAGCAGCAGTGATCGTCCACAGTGACACAGAGCCATGGGGAAGTGAGACACAAACCCCTTCCCTGTTGGGTCACACTCTCCTGCAGCCCCAGGGGGATGGAGACACAGCCATGAGCAGCTCTGACCTGGCCCCAGATCTAAGTCCCCAGTCTCCCCCTCCGCCAGCCCCAAGGCCGGTCTGCAGTGTGTGTGTCAGGAGTGGATTAGGGCTCAGGGCAGGGTGTCCCGGCAAGTCTTTGAATTGAAGATACAGCGATGACATGAAGGACAGAAAGAGGAACATTTCTCTGTTGTGTTAAAACATAAAATGAGTCACTCAAGAAATAGTCACTATATTTGAGCGAGTAACACAAAACTTCACAGTCAGGACACTCCTGCAAGGGAACTGAGGAAAGGCTTTTATAGGGAACAGGCAGAAGCAAAGCAAACATATGACTTGCTGGCCTAGATGTGAGCAGTGCCATGATATGGGAGTCTTGTGGCTCCTGGGCCTCAGATGTTGGTCTGAAACCTGAGGGTACACAGGGCGAGGCTCAGGTTTCGACACTGGCCCCTCAGGCTTCACGGCCGAAGCAGCCGCATGGACACCTTGTGTTGTGTGTTCAACAAGTTGTCACGGCCTTTTGATGTCCTTAGCATGGTGACTGGGAGTTTTGGCCAAATGTCCTCATGAATCCCCAGAACCTCCCACCTCCCACAACCTCTTGAAGCAGCACACTCCAGTGCGCCTCTGAAATTAGAATAGAGAAAACCATTGTAGTGGACACTGGAGAATGAATGTAGGACCTCTTAAGTCTTGATATGCACACACACACACACACACACACACACATGCAACATACCTCCTCCAACACGCAGGGGGCCTCTGGCTGCTCACCAATTTGCCCTCTTGGGAGTCCTTGGTCTGAGAGAAGCTTTTTCCCTGCTGATGCCTCCTCTCTGAGAGACTCAGGGCCAATGATGCCCTGATGCCAGGTCCCAGGCCCTGCTTCCATCATGAGGACCCTGCAGGGTCTCCCAGCTGAGTCTCAGTTATAAGCACATATGGCGATGTCTGCACTACCTGCCGCCATCCTTCCAGCCCATCACCCAAAACCGATGCATGGACCTGCATGTCAAATGACCTTAGGAGGACAAAGAACAGCACAGAGACCACTGCAGAGTCTGGAAAATTTCCTAAGAGCCCAGATAAGATAGTGTGGGAGGAAACTGCTAGAGGAGTGTAGGGTAAGAGGAAATTGTCAGGATTTCCCCCCCTCCCACCATTGGCATCTAAGACCCTAACCTGTGAGCATGCACATGTGCCTGATGGCAGACACCTGGAGTAGGGTGTGGCTGTGCATACGTGGGCTCACGTGGGCTGAGAGGTTGGGCATAGAAGGGCGGCGTCACAGGGATGACAGTTGTAGAAGACACATAAACAGCAGCAGGAGCAGAGGAACAGAGACCATGAGCAAACACAAAGAGTCCAGAAAGGGCAAACATTCACCGATGCGGTGGAGGGGTGGGGGCGGTTGGGGGGTTCCTACCTGCCATGTACCTGGTTGCTGCACTACAAATGATGTGAAAAGCTCAAAGCATGAAAAAGTCACCGAGGCCTCCAGGACTCTCCTTTACCCATCTTCTTGGATCATAGAAAACCTGCTCTGTGCCTTGCTGGCAATACAAGGCAGAAGACCCACCCAAGGACAATAGCGTAACCCCCACTGATTTCACCCCCACCCCATCACTAGTGCCTGCTCCCCAGGCAGAGGACAATGGTCCAAAGTCAGTTTGAGAAATCATGAGAATTCGCCTTAACATGTAGTGGATTCACGCAAATCAAAGGCTGCTCAGGTGCCACCTGGAAAGTGTAAAGGAAAATAGAAATCCCTGTGCCCAGGAAAACAGAATTTCCGGTGTCTCTCAAAAGCACAGGGAGAGGGAATGCAAAGCACCCGGGACCTAACAGGAAATTCACCACACCTGGTGCCCTATCACAATGCCCTGCAAAGAGCAGGACATATGAGCTGTAATAATTGCTACAGTCATTTATTCAGACTGTCTCAGAAGGTGCCCAGAAGGAATAATTTGGAGAGCGTATCAGAAGTCACTACTTTGAGATATTCCACCTTCCTGAGGTCAGGTGGTGAGGGAACCTGCTAGGTGCAGAAATAAAGACAGCAAATGCAATCAATGACCAGATTATTTAGAGTTGGAGGTCGAATTCAGTGAGCGTGGGTAAGGGAGGGGATAGTGAGAGAAGCTTGGGTTGTGTAGGTAGAACAGGCCTTTGAAGAAATAATGCCTAAAAATATTCAGACCTTGTTGGCAACAATAAAGGCACCAAACTAAGAAATTAGGACACCTTCAGCAACAAGGAAATAAAACAACCCAATTATGAGGGAGAGGAGTAATGCTCAGTGAAACTTGAACAGGCCTGGGTTCTATATCAAAGAGTCCACTTCTGCTGTCAAATTGCTCCCTATCTGCCAACTCCTGTATTATGACACCCCCTGTCCCTGGGCAACTGATCCGACGTCGTAATCTGAAAATTATCCTTCTTTGTTCTGTTCCAAAGTCCCATCTCCATGGATCCATCCACAAGATAAAGACCAGTGAGACACTTGACTGAATATTCAGGGTGTAGGACACTACACCCTGGCAATCCCTCAGCACAGGTCACCCCTCCTCACAACTCCATCCCATAGAGACACACTGTGAAATTTCAGATTGTGCGCAGGACCCAGGAAACTAGTGCCTGATTCTACACTCATGCTAACAACTCACATGGAACCAGCAGACTGTTCTGTAGGACTGGACAGGACTCTGGAGACCATGGGCATCGCTCCCTACTGTGACCCCAGAAAGAGCACGCAGGGGTTCAAAGGATCTCCAACCACAAAGGATGGTGTGTTGCCTGGGCACTGGAGACAGGCTCCTGGGAGGACGGTCAGACATTGAGGCAGAGAAGCACAGGCAGCAGGTTCAACCCTGGGGCTGGTGATGCCAGAGACAGAAGGTTCTGGAAGGATAGACAGCTGACACCTTCAGGGCAGGCTCTTGGGGTGACTGGTCAGTTCTAGGACTGCAGTGACAGAGACCCACATACTTGGGGCTGACAAGTGAGATGTGTTGACTCAGGTCTGAGGATAATATCGATGAAGGCATTGGCAAGGTTGGTTTTGGTTTGCTTTGTTTGGATTTTTGTGTACTCTGAAGAGAATGTGGTTTGTGCCTCTCTTCAGCAATGGCTACTTTGCTGTGTTTCCTCAGCTTGTAGATTCTGCCCCCTTCTTCCATGGGATCTCCCTTGGCAGTGTCTGTCTCCAGATGACCCATATTGTAAGGACCAGGCGAATAGGTTTAGCTTGTCGACCCAATTCAACCCACAACCCATTTCCTCCATGGTCAAGTCCTCCCCCTCCTTGAGGACACTGCAGATGGAGGTTGCACCACCAAGCTCTTGCGATCAATCAGGTGGGCAGGACTGGAGGCCCACAAGGACCCTGACCCTCCACTAAATGACTGTCCATGGCTCCATCCTGCTCTCTTACCTTAACATGGTGACAAACCTCTGACAGGTGATGAGGTGTCCTCCTTGGCCTCCCATCAGGACAAAGAGACAAGCCCATTGTTGTCTCAGTGGAGGAGGGGTCTGGTACAGCTGCTAACTGGATGAGGAGCCCCCAGGACACCGCTGTTCTCTTTTCCATCTGCAGGTCCTGGGTCTCCAGCCAGCTCAGCACTGCTCTGCTCATGGATCCCTCAGAGCCTCTGCAGCGCCACGCGACTCTGTGGACCGACTAGGAAGGATCAGAATCAGGTGACTCTGCTACCTGTGCCCCAGCTTGCCTCACCTCAGTGATAGCAGCTCACCCCGAGCCTCCTCAGGCCTCATTGCTCACCGGGCTGTGTGATGCCCTCATGCAGGACAGGTTTGCAGATCTATGGGATGAGGGCCCCTCTCTCAGAATGGAGTGGTCACAATGGTAATGAAATAATACTCTGCACAGAGTCTGGTCAAGCATGAGGCAGATGTGCCCTAGTTCTGCCAGGACACCCCATGACATGTTTTTTAGGTAACCATGATCCTGCTCATGGGCATAAAGGCCTAGTAAGTAGGATGGGTATCTGAGAGGATATTACTTCTGCTATCTATGCAAAGGGCATTAAATAGGTTAGCCTGTTTATGAGTGTGAGTGTGAATGTGAGTGTGTGTTGTGCCTGTGCAGTTTGATATTACCCTTAAAAAAAAAAGTCAATGTGTCAAATCCAAAATTTTTATTTCCCTCACTTTACTTATTCCTCTATGCTCAGTATCTATATTTATATTAGGAGATATTGTAACAGGGTGGTCCCCAGGAAAGGGGGAGGTTCCAGGTTCCCTGCCCCACCCAAGGGAGGGTGGAGATGAGCAGGGAGAGGAGAAGCTGCAGAAGAGACTGAGGAAGGAAGCAGGATGGAGCCAGGAGACCTGGAGGAGGCGCATGGAGCCTAGAGACACGTGAAGAAACTGAGCTTGTCTTTTGGTCGTGGACTGGGTGACACAGATGCGGGTGAGACCCGTGGGGAGGTGACAATGGCAGCTTTTATCTTGATGTTGATTTTGCTCTTTTCCTTCCGGGCTTGTCTGGTTGTTTCTGACCCTTTTCTGTGGGTCCCCACAGGAAGATGCTTTAGACTTGTGGCAGGCTTTGGGGCCTTGCTCTGGGCCGATCCCATTTGGATGGACTTTTACCCACGAGGGGACGGTATCTTTGGGTGCTTCATTTAGAAACTAGACTCTTTGCCTTTCCTGTATTGTTTCCTAGTTTTATTAAAGTTCCTTCCCATTAAAGTCTCATATGTTTTGTGTTAATGTGGCAGATGGCAGAACCCATTTAGAATAGGCAGATTTGCAGGGTTTGGGCTGCCCCTCTCCCTGCCCTGTAACAGTATGAGGATAAGAATTTTAATAGAGGAGGAAGAAAAAATTTTTATGTTCTTAACACATGTCTAACCATTGAAAACAATTCATGCTTATTAAATCCTTCAGTAGCAATC